TAGTCCTGGGAGGTGGTATCATCACGCCCATTTCACAGATTCAGAAACTAAGGCTGTAGGTTCTCTCTCATATGCCAGGGGTGGGCTGAGGAGACTCCCTCGGCCTCCTAAACAATGGATAGCCCTGATTACACTTTGGGTAAATAGTGTTGTCGCATTCGACTTGGTTTTTGCTCCTTTGTGCTACTAGCAGGTTCAATGAACCACCTGTAAATTCCCTTCTGGGATCAACGGTCTGTGATGCTAAGTTGCCAGACTGAAAACCGTCCTTACGTGTCACCTGGCTCCAGACTCTGCCACCTCTGGGTTAACATGTTTAATTCGGTGTGTCCCTGGAAATTTCGATTTGAGACTTTCAGAAGCAAGCCTCACAATTCATTTGCGGTTTGATTCGCCCTCAGAGAGGGCCCAGGCCCGACCCAAACCCCCAGAACCCTCTGAAACACAGCTGGTGCGCTTTTAAACCCCTGGTTACAAACGACCACTAGGCCATGACCTTCTTCACTGGACAGAAGGTTCCTGGAAAAGCAGGAGTGTGGCTGTCATTCCTTTATCCCTTGATGCCTGCCACGTGCCGGCGATTACTAAGCAAGCTTGGAATCGAGCCCCGACCACGGGAACATCGTGACGTTACGTGCTGCGGGAGATACGGCCCGTGTTCTGTGTGCTGCTTGCTTTTAAGGACTCCCGGTTTGGACAAGGAAGCAAGGTGGGATCCCTCGGCATGATGGCATCACCAGGAGTGGTTGGACCACAGGGGCTCTGACTCTGAGAGGAGCAACGGTCTGGGCTGGACTGAGCTGGAAGGACCCCGGAAGGAGCAGGCCCGGATCCGGCCCCGGGGATGGTGAGGGTTTGGGCAGGGACGAGCCCTTCACGGTGGAGGACGGAACACACGGTACAGGCACTGGGTCTGGGTCATGCCTGCAGGACTGATCCCCCGTGGGGAGGATTGTTAAAGAAAGCTATGGGTGGGAAGGTTGAAGATAGCTGCCCCTGACCTCCCAAGATGACAACTCCTCTCCCAAGTCCCAGAACGCTGCCCACAGTAATCGGGCAGCTGGTGGCTGTCGGAAGCCTGGCGAGGGAAGCCTGCCAGCGGCTGTGGGCTAGGCCAGGGGGCTGCCAGGTACTCTTCAGTGAAGAGCATGGCTGTTCTCCTTTTAGGTGGAAGAGAGAAGGAAAACATGGAGACCGCCCTGGGAGACCAAGCACTCTTAGGGTGGCCTTGTGGCCAACCAGCCACAAAAGAAAGAAGAGAGAGATGGCAAAGACAAACAGTGGCTGGAGTGGAGAAAACTCCCAAGAATGGAAGGAAAATGGTAAGAAATGAGGCAGGAGCCAAGTGGACGGAGAAATACCAAGATGCTATGGACACTGTCACACCAAACATTCAGCCATAAATATGGATCTATGGCAAGTATCCTTTCTCACCCCAGCCCTAACCATTTTGTCTCCTGTTTATAGTAAATGTTTTCTATCTTGTTCATTAATACATCCGTTAAAATGCTGGAACACAATGCCATATTGCCCCGGGCAAAATGGGCACATTCTGAAAACTCGTATTTGAGATGGTCCCTAATAACCACCCCGAAGCCATGGTTTTCCTGTCACAGGATGCATGCATGACTCAGGGAGTTGTTTACTTCGCTTTCTTGTTTTTCAGATTTATTTACTAGTGAATGGTCTGTTGCTACCAAATTTGGCAACGCTCATGCGGTTTGGCAAGGTTTTCCCCCGGCCCCATTGGCGGTAGGAGATAAACAAGCCGTGTCCCAGGAGGGTGACGTGCAGGCGTGGCTCCAGCTTGGCATCTTTCCTTTGCAATCTCCAAGAGCATTCCCTGGAAACAGGCCCTCCAGAGTTGGTGACGGACGCACCGCGGAAAAGCACGTATCCGGGGAGAACCCAGCAGCTTCGCAGTCTTCGTCCAGGAGAAGAACGGCTCTTAGGCAGTCTGGTGCAGTGGCTGCGTTTTGTGGGGCAGCCATGCAGTCACAGCGGTTCCCACGCGCTGCGTGGACAGACCGGTGGTATTGGGCAGGTGAGGCTGCTGGCACTCCTGGGGTTTTGGCCAGCAGCACAGGGTGAATGTTTTTGGATTGCCGTACTTTCTGTGAGGTTGTAGCTCCAGTGGTTTTCCATTGTCACCACCCTTCCGCCTTAGATCAAACCCTTCCAACCACGCCTGGTTGCAACTGGGAAGGCCCCACAGTGACAGACCCCCACAGCGGCCCAAAGTCTTCCCTCGGAGACCGTACCGCAAATTTACTTCGAATAATATTTGTCTGTTTGCGTATTTGTCTCTTCCCCAATAGCAAGTAATAGCCATAAAGGCAGAAGCCGCACTGCCCTCCCAGGCCCTGGCAGAGCTGCTGCCGCGCGTGCGCACTGCTTGCAAGCACGACGAAGCTGCTGCGCGTGCGCACTGCTTGCAAGCACGAGGAGTCCGCCGGTCCCCACGCCAGGGTTCCTGAAAGAACGCGGGAGGGATCTGCCACCGCACTAAGATGAACGTGCAGACTGACAAACAGGCCGTTTCAGGGTGTCCTCTCCTGTGTGTGGGGCCTGACTCTGGTCCAGCCCTCAGATTCGAAAGTCCAGATTTGGGGTCTTTTATCTCCACCCCGGCTTGGTCTTCTCTCCCAGAACACGAGGCACCAGGCTTCTCGGTCGCCGCGCTTTGCGCGCAGTTTGGTTACACAGTGGAATGGAAATCCCTGGAGTATCTCTCTCTCTGTCTGTATAGTTTTATACAGAGAGGGAGAGAGAGACAGGGAGAGAGAGAGGGGAAAATGTAGCTGCTCTCAAGTCTGTTGTGATTGTGTACCTGATGTTTTAATTTAGGATAGACACGATGTTAGAAACGTCCAGGGAGGAACACACGAGGCCGGAATGAAAGTTAAGAGGTTTATTTTAATGTCTGTTTGCAGACAGGCATCTAGGGCTTGTATGGGCTGGTTTGGGCTAGTTTGGGCTGGTTTGGGTGGACCCTCAAAGGGGGCGTGGCCAGAGTTTCCATGGAACTTTCCTCTAGCCTCTGAGTTCAGCCTAACACATGCAACACGATGCACACCTGTTCTTGATGATAAATGAAGCATTTTTTTTGGGGGGGGGATAATAATAATTCCAGAAAAGGAACAATAGCCTCTGCTGCTATGAGCTCATTTCACCCCCAGAGTTCGATGGACCCAGGAGTGTGGTGACCTGGACCATTTTAGCACAGACAGATCATCCGAGGGACAATAAGTTTGTATGGAAATACAAGTTTTTTTTGTTTTTGTTTTTGTATTTTTTTTTTATTATTTTGGAAGTGAAGAGGGACAGTGACCAAAACGACAAATAGAAATCATTAGAGAGGTTAGGTATAAATGACACATACTTTAGGTGTCATTGGAACAAACTGTTTTGAGGAGTCATGCGGACAAACAGTTTTGGGGGTTTCTGTGGTCTGAATGTGTACCCCCAAATTTGTGTATGGGAAACTTCATCCCCCATGCAACAGTGCCAGGAGACAGGCCTTTGGGGAGGTGTCAGGGCACGCTGGCTCCGCCCCCCTGAATGGATCAACGCTCCTACAACGGGGGTGACGGAGGGAGTTTGCCTCCCTTGTGGCCTTCCTGCCTTGGGCCATGTGAGGACCCCACATGTCTTCCCTCCGGAGGAGGAGGCGACGTTCACGGTGCCGTCTTGGAAGCAGAGAGCAGCCCTCGCCAGACACCAGACCTGCCAGCGCCTTGATCTTGGACTTACAGCCTCCAGAACTGTGCGTGACAAATTTCTGTTGTTTGTAAATTACCCAGTCTCGGCTATTCTGTCTCGGGCATACAGCAGCACAAACAGACTAAGACAGGTGTGTGCTAAAGAAGCTTTACTGAAAAGAGCAGTTTCTTTCTCCACAAGCAAAAAATCCAGGTAGTGTGAGTGTCTTTATGTTCTACTGGCTTTTCTCCCAGCGAAAACTCTATATTATAGAGTTTTATGGGTGTTTGTCCTTTTAGAGGTGTGAACAGGTATATAATTGCCACAGTCTTCAGCCATGAATCCATTGGCAGCTCCTTGCACAGCGGAAGGACATGCAGCCGGTTTTGCCAGTGATGCAGACCACGCGTGCCCTGGCGTCAGTGCTGGACTGCAGAGCAGGTGCAGCTGGGCCACTTAGCACGGAGCTGCTGGTCACAGCGCGCTCGTAGCTTGGGGCTCCCCTGCCGAGGATCTAACCTAGAGTTCCCCGATTTGTTTTTGTTCCTATAAGGCGACTTCAAATTAAATCTAAAAAGTGGTTCAACAGCATATACGTTTTACTCTTGTCCTCCACGTGGATGCCCGGTTTGGATACTGAACAGGGAGGCAGCTCCGAGGCCGCCTTTGCATTTGGTAGCTGAACTTCTCTCTGGAGCAGCTGAAGTGAGAGATCGACAAGGTCAATCTCTGTCTATTTTTGCAGGCGTTGCAAAAATCAGGCGTCAATACCGTTTCTATCCCTGCCACATTTCTGAACTGCCCCACGTGGGGCGGCCCTCACAGTATCTGCCATGTCCTCTCTCTTGCTCCCTGTCTCGCCATGTGACCTGCACACGCCGGCTCCCTCCGCCTCCTGCTTTGACTGGAAGCTCCCTGAAGCCCTCACCAGAAGCAGAGGCTGCTGCCAGGCTTCTTGTGCAGCCCGCAGAACTGCGACCAAATACACCTCTCTCTTACAAATTACCCAGCAACAGGTATTCCTTTATAACAACTCAAATGGAATAAGTCAGTAGTATGGGGAATAATAAAGAACACATCTTAGTCACTGGCATTTATTTGAATGCTTACAATGTGCTCAGAGCGGTTCTGAGCACTTTTTGCTCACAAACTCACTTTATCCTTTCAGCCACCCTGTGGGGTCCAGGGTCAGATAGGGTGCAGTAGGGCTTGGTCTAGACAACGGGGAGGTCACATGTGCCTGGAATGCCAAAGTTCCAGGAGGTTGCTTGGTAACCCCTAACAAACCTCCACGCCTGTCCCATGCTGAGGCCCAGACAGCCCAGAGAGCCTCTCTCATTAGCAGAATCTACCTGGAACCGACTGGCACAGAAAGGTGGGAAGTGGGCCTCCAGGATTTGCCCCCGTGGACAAGGGGAGCATGTTGAAGGCAGGCACAGAACTGAATGGGGACACACAACATCCAGGACACAGAGCTACTGCTATTATTAATCTTTCCATCATACAGAAAGAAAATTAAAGCTCAGGAGGATCAACCAGCTGTGACTTGTCCGGGGTTTTATAACAAGTTTGGAATCTAAACTCAGGTAATCTGCTTCATAGTCCATGCTTCTAACCACTGTGGCCACCTTTGTGCTGGGTATGGCAGGAGCAGGTGCTGTCGCAAGCATGCCACCTCCTTTAATCTTGGAGGCAGCCCAGGAGGTAGACAGCAGAAGGTAGATACTATTATTGTCCCCTTGTCTGGGTGAGGAAAGATGCTCAGAGGTGTGTCACTGGAGTAGGAGGCAGCTTCTCTAACAGCAGAGGGAGGAGCTGGGCCCAGTCGTTCTCCCTCTGAGCCGCCTCCACAGAGGGTGGCCGGGCACCAGCTGAAGGATGCCTGAGGGGGAGCCACAGCAGTGGGCCACCACGGAGGTCTCCTGGCTGGTGGGGTGTGGAGGGTACAGGGTAGGTCCCTGAAACACCCATGAAAGTCCTGTGAGAGAAAGAGCTGGCATTTGAGCTCCCGTCGTGGCGAAGGACCCTGGACAGCACACACCGAGTAAGGAGAAATTCTTGCGTGTCCAGTTCCCACGCTTCCTTCCCACTCAATCCTGGAGGCCACAGTGAGGCGGCAGCAAGGGTAAAGATCAGGGAGGCATGAAAAGACACACCACCTTTGTTCTTGCAGGTTTTCAAGCCTGAATCATAACTGCACTGCAGGAAAACCCACAAGATGTTGAAATTTGGGAATTAGACTAGACTGATTTTTTTTTAATATGCAAAAAGGAGACTTTACAAATCTCTGAAACTGACTAGAAACGCCAGCTTCCCTGAGACATCGTCCAACTCTGGCGAATGGAGAATTGAAAGCAGGTTTGAAGATCATGTGGGTCAAAAATAAAACTCTTTCCTGATTATACCCTCCCGGGTCCATCCCCTCCCACAAACTGGAAACACAGACATCATCACCCCTGATTCTCTCAAAATATGCCGAGGTGAGGTCATTTCCCCCACTTTACAAATAGGAAAACTGAGGCTTAGAGAGTTAACTGATTTGCCCGGTTTAAGGTCATAAGCTCAAAAACAAAACCAGACAAGCTCACCCTGTGGGGTTAATGTAGTGAAGTTGGATGAAGACTGCCTGAAATTGTATGTGCGCCTTGATTTCTCCGTAGCAGGTTTGTTCCTGTCTAGATGGTCAACGCTTGGCTACAGTATTGTAATAAATTCTTACGGAGAGATTATATCAGCACTCAATGAGAAATTGGTGGGTTGTTAATGAATCATTAATATTCCAGCGAAGCAGCCACTTAATTGCGATACTCGGTAAAGAATCCAAGTCCGTGGTGCTATTAATGCCTGAATCTGACATTGATTTATGCAGATGGGCATTAAAGGTGGTATTTCATTACTTGGCAAGAGAAAGGACAGACTGAAGTGACAGAACTGGGAGATCAATAATCCTCTGTGGATTAATTATCAGTTGGAGAAAAGAAAAATTGTGAAAATGATAGAAACAGAAGGATTATTGTTCCAGACTTAATTCCACCCAGGGTGGTGACCCAAGTCAGAACCCACTGCAGCTGGCATTCTGGTGCTTGGAATTGAAGAAAGGAGACTGTAACAAAGTTCTTGCAGTTGCTAAGAGCCAGAACCCTCCCTCAGCTTTGTAACAGCTGGAGGTCCACTAACACCAGTGCCACCTTGGATCTGGCAAGGCAGCCTCAGCCACCAGGATAATTTGGTTCTGATGCAATTGTACTGCTTGTCCCTTGCTCTGAAGAGTTTATGCCCCAGTGCCTTAGTTTGCTTTCCCTATATTTGGGATTAAGCCAATTTGCATATCTATTTCCCCTTAAAATTCATGCCACATATTATTATTTTTATTATTATTGTTACCATCATCACCACTACCACAACCATCATCATCATCATCATTGCTGTATTGTAGGTCCTTTCTCCTCCAGGAATATTTGTGCTTCTTTTATGATCAAATGAAAATAATGCTAGAAGTCGCATATTTTTTTCTCAAGGAAAATGCCTACAACCTCTAAGCCTGGCAAAAGTCCTAAAAGAACCATGCAAAAGTTCTAAAAAAGCCTAAAATTAAATTTATAAGAAAATATAACATAGTATAATATGAAATAACATGAATTAGAACTTTATACAAGTGAAATATTGATAAAAGTTTTGTGAAATAGTACAATAGAAAACTGAATATCTACTCCAACATACAATACTATGTCTCATTCTCTCTCTCTCCCTCTCTCTCTCTCTCTCTTTTTAAATCTAGCTCATACACTTGAATCCCTGTCCCTAATTTAAAAAAAAATAAAATAAAAGCTAATGTCTTTTGGGGGAACTACTTAGTTGACAGCAAAGTTTTAAAAATTTCTACTAAGTCAAATAAAAGTGTACTAATGGTTCATATTTTTGTACCTGAGGCCCTAAACAAAGTTTTAAGACAATGTCACAAAAGCATCTTCCCGGATCCTAACCTATGGCACCAGGGCTTGGTCACCACACACCGGTCTCCTGTTCTGCCTGGTCTTGGATCCGGAAGAGTTCAGGGGAGCTGTTCGAGCACAAGGCGGGGCGCAGGGGTGACTGCCTGATTCAACTGTCTTTGCCTTTTGACATAAAATGCCAAGCAGAAGTGGCAGCTTAGAAGTCATTGTAAAAGGCAAAACATAAAGGTGTGTTAGGAACTCTGGAGCCCATGTGGCAAATTTCAGCACCATACTGACACTGCTATAAAAGGTTCAAGCGGTGGAATGGACTACAGCAGCGTGAATGCCACACTCAGCATCTGCTGTTTGGTAGAACAATTATTTTGTGGCTTGTAGGTTTTAGTGAACTTGGCTGTGGAATCCAACAGAAGCTGTTTTCCATCCTTTACACAACTCTTCTCCTTCTTTCCCGAGACAGGACTCTTACAGAGCGAGCGAGCCGGTGACCTGAATAAATGGGGCCCCGAGGAAAGTGCACGACGATGACTGTAGAGTAATAATTATGACAATGGGAAGCTAAAACCTGCTATTTTCAGGATCTATTTAAGATTGTAATTACTTGGTAATGGATGGGTTATAAGACGATTTTCGTAATCAACTTAGGTAGGACAGGGTACAAATCTTTGGTCTTAATATTATATAATTCAGAAGCCTAAAATATCTTATTACATCATTTAAAATAAAACTAAATGATCTCATTGACATGACTAAATATGAATACCTTAAACTACATATTTTAGGTGTAAAAATCGTGAATAACGAATCCATCACCTCGAATAATTTAGAGAGGATGTTAAATTAGTGTTATGATACATAAAAATTTTCAACGGGGGTTTTATGAATCATAGATATGTTTTGAATATGACTATCTGGGATTCTTAGATTCTTTTAACTATTAAAACTCACTGATAGCTTTTTTATTTAAAAAATATATTTTTACTATGAAAATTGATATCCAGAATAATGATCATGGAACTGAAAAAAGAAGGTGAGGCTGGTCAAATTTTACTTTGAGGTCCCCAAACCTGACATTCTGGACTCTGATTCTGAGATGGTGTTTTCTTCTTCTTCTTCTTTTCTTTTTTTTTTTGATTCACTCAGAATTTAAGTCTCTAAAGTCCTTCTTTTATGTGAGTCAGTGCACGTGCTTAAGGAGGCGTAACGTGCAGCCCCGTCCAGGCATAATTGCAACTGACCAGCAAGCGGAAGTTCGATCTGCAGAACTGAAATGCTGATTAAGAAATTCCAGGTATCACTGCATTGTTGGGAAAGTATTTGGAAGGGCGCCGGAATATGATCTTGAATCTCTGAAGCACCTCTGTGAAGTAGGTACTATTATTATTCCGTAGATGAGGCAACCAAGGCCCGGAGAAGCTAGTAACGTGGCCAAAATCGTATAATTACGGGTGGTAGAATGAGATTCAAACCAACCTCTCAGCCCCGAGCCTGGGCTCTCGATGACAAGAGGGTGCGGGTGCATTTCCCGGGTAAGGCACTGCTGCGCCCGCTAGCGAGACCGGCCTGGACATTCGGGAGCGGTGGGCTGTGGCCAGGCTCCGAGCCAACTGTGCCAGGATCTCCAGCCAGCCCTGGACCCCCTGGGTCTCCAGGGACCTCACTGAGCAGGAGGATCCTCAAATTCTTTCTTGGCTCTGAATGACATGACTTTAAAATATCTGTGATGTATAATTTTATACATGAAATAGAGAAAAGATCTTGAAAAGAGGTGGAAGAAGTATACATATATCTAAAAAAAAAAAAGAAAAAGAAAGAAATAGGAAAAACCTGATTTCAAAAATACTAAATTTACCAACAATGAAATAAAAAATTATATTGTTAACGTGTCTTCCCATACAAAAATGATTGGACAGGACCAGAAGAAAACATTAAATTCAGTGACATTGTAAAATGCCCCATTTGTTTAAATATTTTAATTTTGCTGGTACTGGCATTGTAGATGCAACACCAGAAAAGGGTATGAGTAGGGCTGGGGGCAGGCAGTCACTGGGCCACTGTGTAACCCAGAGCTTGCCCAGGTGCCCATGATTTCTTACTGGGAGGCCTCCAGCAGGTGTGAGTCTGTGGCACTGACGTGACAAGTCATCCTTTGCCAACCGTAGCCAGACCTTCCCGAGCCCACATTGGGATCTGCAGCCCAAGAAAGCAAGGAAGGCTTGGAGTCTGTCCAGAGAGGTCAACTCCAAATGCTTAAAATCCAAGACAAGAGGGTCCCAGCGGAAAGTGCAGGTAGAGTGGGACACTCAAGAAGAGCTGGATGAGATGTGACTCTAAAACTGTCCTCAAGGCCATCAAAGGCATTTATGGACAATGAGGCCGTTTTTCGAATTTCACTGAATGAATGAATGCAAAGTGCAACAACAATGAGCCAGGAAAAAATAAAAGGACAGGAAAGTTGTTTTTCGCCCAGTAAGGAAAAATTATTATGCACTAATCACAAAAAACTCATACAATTTGAAATGTGTTGTCAACTTTTTTTTTCTTCTTTTTATTTTAACTAACAAAATTTAGCTGAAGGCTTCCGGAAAGTAGGAAAGGGAATTAGGAGAGACTTCATGGAAGGGGACACTTTGGCAATCTCACTTGTGTTCACTCTACCCTTGCGCCGTGCGGGTTGGTGGTCAGACTGCGTTTAGGTTGGTGGTACCTTTTCCTCAGATATTTAAACATCGCTTCTGGCTTACGAGAATCTTGCCCCTTGTCTTTATTATTTTTTAAAGTAATACAGGTACTATGATTGTTTAAAACAATAATCCTCCTATAATATGCTATCATAAAAAGTGATTCTATTACATCCAGATATAAATTGGGGTCAGCCCTGGTCCTCTGCCCAGGGGACAGGAAAGACTTGGAGAGAAAGGCACAGACCAGAGGGGAAATGGCAGGAGACCCAATTTCAAAAAGTAGAGAACAAAGGCTGAGTCCCCTTTCTGCCACATTCTCTCAGTTCACTTTCTTCGGACCAAGTGCCCTGAAACAGGTGCCCGGTGACTAGAAGAATCCAGGAATTGCCACCACTTCTCCTGGATGTTCCGGGTAACTGCAAGAGCTGGAGCCAGCCCTGCCCAAAGGTACGCCTGGGCAGACTTCTGCCACCAGGTGGTGCCCAACCACACACAGGACCAGCCTGGGTTTGGCCAGTGTGCCCAGACCCTGGGACAGGAAAGCTCACCCTGGTCATCCATCAGCCTCCCAAGACACCACCTGCATTCATGCCATTTACTTCTTGTGTGCATTTTTAAATGCCATTTAACTCCAGCATTCCTGGAGTAAAAAATGTATATATTACTCAGCCCCGCACCCCAAACTTTTACACTCCCCAGAAATAGGTATTTCCAATTTTCGAATCTTTTGGGTAGTTACTTCCATATTTTTCAATAATCTGTTCACATCATAATTCTTTCATTTTGTTGGAGTTGAAAAAAGTTACTATTGACTTTCTACTCTGGATAGTGGAATTGTAGTTCTCTTATTCCTCCTCCCTCTTCCGTGTAAGCAGACACCTCCTCGTTCTTGCTTCCTTTTAATAACCTGTGGTTAATTTAGTTTCAGTGTTTACATGATCACTGTGCAAATATTAGTCACTGTTGAGCAATAGAGTCTATGGTTATGTTTCCTTTCTTGTACAAATTTCTTATTCCTGAAAGCTTAATAGGTGCCTCATTTCCTTTCATTTGCTTTGTCTTAACATAACTAATCACTAATTAGTCCCACATATTCAAACAGAAGTACAGATATCTCAATTCATATAGTTTCACTTGATTCCTTTTTCCCTTTTTTCTAGAGTGATAATCCCCCTGTCCATGGGTTCCAGATACTCACAGGAGCTTTTCTAAGTCTCCTGCCAGGATCTGACAGACACCCCACATCAAGATACTGGGGCAGGGGTATCCGAGATAGGCTGCCCTTAGAACCCTCAGATTACCTGGGCCTACAGGTCTTGAGCTATTCTGGGGGAGGGGGAAGTCAGCCCAATGACCTCACCTCTCGCTGGAATTTTCCCCACTGGCAATGGTTTCAGCACCACTCCCTCCTAGCCAGTTAGCAGGCAACTGCCCCTTCCACGATTTCCAAATTCTGTTGGCATCTTCGGGCTGTGGTCACCTCCTGTCCATTTTCTTCATCCTTTTGGATCTTAATTCTTTTACTGTCATCTGAGCGAAGTTGCTGAGAGGCTTTTGTGCACTCTCCATGGTTAACTGGGAATCCCTTATCTTCTACAATGTATTTATATATATTAGGCTTATGGATTAATCTGTAAAGAATTTGGGGAATATGTCTAAAAGGCTTTAAGGCAGTGGGGTCAGTGTGGCCAGCCATGGCATACAACAAGAGCCAGGGACACTGGCCTGCAGAGGGGAACAGTGAGTTTCTGCTCATAGCACTTGTTTCATGAACGGGTCGCTTTCTCCAAATCTGTTTGCTCTGGGAAAGGAGCCTGACCCTTCCCTTACCTCGTCATACGGCCATCGTGGGGATGAGACCAACGCTGGTGCTCCGCAAGCTGAAAAGGAAAAAGTGTTCGGTGCAACCTATTTTGACCACCTGTCTTAAAGGTAGCATGCTTACGAGCGCAACAGAACACTTCAGCTTTTGGAAAATGATGCAACCAATGACGTAAAGCAGTTTTCAATGAATGCTCCAGAGCGAAGGCAGCAGCAGACCCTCCCATTTTTGATTTTCGGATTGAATCCGGCTTGAGCCCTGCGGATCCTAGACGGAGCACCGAGCACCGCACCGGGGCTTCCCTGCTGCTGCTCTAAGACTGCAGAGCGCCCCGCGGCCAGAGGCAGGGAGGGGTCCGCTCGCCTCCGCGCCGCGCGCTGGCCCGCCCGGCTCGCAGGCAAGGGAAGGGCCCAGCCCGGCATCCACGGGACCGCGGCCGAGCCCAGGGAAGATGCGCCGCCGCCTGCTGCCTGGATGCGGAGGGTGAGGCTGCGCCCGGGAGAGCTCACCCCGCGTCTGTGCGCGGCTGTCTGCACCGCCGACTGCGGGGCGCCGAGCTGACGCGCACCTGGGCTGGGACAGTGTCGGGCCGCGGCGCGCCGAGGGCCCACTGGGGACCCGGAGCCGCAGGGCGTGTGGAGACCCGCGCCGCGAGCCGGCGACCGCCCCGCCGGTGGTGTTCGTTTTTAAATTTCTGCCATTAAAAGATGTCATAATATGGGCCTCAGCCCTTTAAGGAGGATTTCAGTGATTCCTTTTTTTTTTTTTTTTTTGGTGCCAGGACTGATACACTGCCAATAACTATGTACCTTTCAAACAGATTCCTGACAAATCACAGTCTTGATCTAATTTTCCATAAACGGCCTTTATTTTCTTAAGACGCCCGCTGCACCGGCCCTGCACCTGCCCCTGCACCTGCCCACTGTCATTGCGAACATTTCCGAGACTCTCAACCTCCCAGGTTCCTCTTCGCGGTCGTTGGAGAGCACAGACGCCCGGGCCGTGCCGAACCAGGGCGGCGCACTGTATGCTGTTGCAAAAGCCTGGGCAAGAGTCGGCAAAGGCCGTAGGACGATGTCCCCACCCACACCGGCTGTAAGGAGAGCTGACACTCCTTATTCGCGCCTGAACTGGGTTCGTTTTGGGTTTGCTTTGCTATTGCTTGGTTTGCTTCCTAGTTGGAGAGCAGCCTCGGCGGGAGGCTTTCCAGGACTCTGGTCCATTTCCCCAAGGTTTGTCTTTCATGGCACACGAGATGTGCACAGGCGTCAGCTGGTCTATGTCTTAAAGCAATGAGGGAAACACCGCCGGAGGGACCAGTTATTCCAAGTTCTGGCAGAATACTACCTTCGCCCTGCCCGCTGGCCTGGGTCTCACATGTGGACAGTCTTCTCAATGCTGTCCCCCTCTCATTTCTGGGAACAAGCCTGCTGAGTGCCCTGCTGTCCTTGTGTGGTGAGCCTGGGGCGAATAAGACAAGCACTGTTTGTCCTCGTCTGGAACTCATTCCTACCCTTGGCAGAGCCCTGCCCGGCCTCACTCCTTGTTCTCATGTGGACCTGCCCAGTTTTTGGGAATGGATAAAGAAGACCATTTTGAAATCCATATGTTTTTGTTTTCCCGACTGACAGCCAGCCACAGGCCTCTAGCACTGCTTGAAGCACCTGCTGCATACTCTGCAGCTTATCCAGCCTCCCTTCCATCCCACCTCGTGGCCCCAAGAGCAGATGCCGTTCTCCCAGGGTACAGGGGCTACTGCAGTTATGGCTGTAAGTGCCCACGGCCACCCAGCGGTGAGATCTGAACACAGGTCGCCTGAGAGAGAGGCTTGGACATCCATTTCAAAACTCATTCCTGACCTTTCCACCATTGCTGGTGGAATGTAAACCTTGGAACAGTTTGCCAGTTCCTGGAAAAGTTAAAATAGATTACCATATGAGATCGCTTCCACACTCTCCTAGGTATATACCCCAAGAGACATGAATAGTTTCACACAAAAACTTGCACGTGAAATTCTTGCAGCATAATTCATATAGCCAAAAAGTGGAAACAACTCAAATGCCCATAAACTGATGAACAGATAAACGAAAGGTGGAACGTCAGTACAATGGCACATATTCAGCCACAGAAAGGAAAGAAACACTGACACACGCTGTAACATGGCGAGCCTTGCAAACACTATGCTAAGTGAAGAAGCCAATTGCAAAGGACGACATTTTGTATTGATTCCATTTAATACAATATCCAGGAAAAAAGTAATCCATACAGACAAAGAATAGAATTGGGTGCCAAGGGCTTCAGGGTTGGAGGAGAATGGAAACAGGCTGCTAATGGGTAAGGAGGCTGTTTTTAGGGGTGACAGGAATGTTCTAAAATTAGATGTGGTGATGGTTGCAGCCCTCTGTGAATACACTAAATAATTGCTTTTAAATTTAGAATGTTCAAGTTAGGATAGAATGAATTGTCTCTCAACAATGCTATTGTTTAAAAAATCAGCTCTGTAGGTCATCATCGGCTGGGAGTATTGAATGTAAGTTTGAAAGGGAGAAGGCACTTTCAAAGCAGAACTTGGTGGTTAGGGAAGAATTCTCCATTTTGGACACAGTAACACAGAATATTATTATTTTGTGGATTGATTAACACATAGGCATATAGTTGAAAATTTTTAACCATTCTTTCCTGAATGGAAAATATTAATCTGTATTTGTGTAAACAAATCTAGATGAGCAATATCAATCCATACTAGCTCTTTTTTAAAGTTGGTTAACTGAGGAAACAAATAAATAATTGCTCCTGGGGCACCATGAAATTTAAAAAAACTGCTTTATTATTTCAAAAAACATTAACCTTGGAGTCTTAATGTTAATATGCAAAGCATATTTCTTCCAATTTCTTAATTTATGGCAATGAAAATATACATAGTCTCACATCTTGTAGGTTTTTACACGTTCTTATAACTTTTAAATATTCTACTTATTTTTATTAACAATTCTTTGTGAAAAATAGCATCACTAGTATTATTCTCATCTTTTATGGGTACTGTAAGATCAAAGGTTAGAGAAGTTACGAGGGTCTTATGCCGCCAATCATACATTTGCCAGGGTGACAAGGTCCCCGACTTGAATCATTGCTGGGTTGCCCCATTTGACAACCTAAGAGAAAATAACTTCTTTCCCCTCCCCTGTGGCCAAGGAGAGACACACGCATACAGAGACCTATTTATATCTTAAAGTGCCTCTCTAACCCTGTCTTCGGTTTTCTAATGTGCATTGCATTGCTCCTCGAATACAGGGAAAGATTTTGAAGGCAACAAAGCCTTTGCTCCCTGTATAGATTTCTCGCTATGGAGTCTCGCCTTCCTGCCCGCAAGTAGAACCCGCGGCACAAACAGGACGGAAAACTCATGTCACCTCCTTTTGAGCAGGAAAGCATTCAGAGGACAAAAGGCTGGTGCTTTGTTGGAGGACCCGTCTGCGGCCTCTTTCCTTGTATTTACCTGGTGTTTGACACTGACCTGAGTGGGGGTGGGCAGGGAGGGAAGCTAGAAAAAGGAAGCAGAAAGAGTCCAGACCCATTGGACCCTGCTGGTTTCCACTCCGCCATGGAGATCACACAACAGAGGAAAGGAACAAGGGAGATTGGGGTCAGACGCGCCAAGCCGGATTGGGTCTTCAAGCTGCATCACCACGCTGGAGGAGGTCATCTTCACTGAACCTTTGGGTTAAAGGAAGCATTTGGTTCCTTTAAACTTTTCACCTATTAAATAATTCCGGGCCAGGGTCCATCTTCACCACTTATCAGCGTATCTGACGTAGCTTCTGCTACCAACCCACCGTAGCAGGGGCCACCGAAGGACACACATCCTGACAGAGGTAGCCGCGCCCGGAGACTCAGCACAGGCTGTCTCGCCTTGCCTGCTTTCCTCCCCAGAGCAGGAGTGACGGAAGCTGGGATGTGAGCGTTTGGGAGGGTCAACCTGCAACGCCAACAGGACGAGTGGATTCAGAATTGAGAGGAATCAGGGACATCTTCTTGATGTAGCATCAGTCTTGTCACATTATTAAAAATGCAAGGGAACAATACCTGTTTTGATCCCACTCACTAAAATATCCACTGTGCACAGTGGTCCCTCCTGCTCTGGGAGGAAAGCAGGCAAGGAGACAAGCCTGTGACTCTCGGGGCTGAGCCCCCTCTGTCAAGCGAGTGTGTTCCTTCCGTGCCCCTGCTAACGGTGTGTACAGTAAGCTACTCAGATACGCTGATAAAGTGTGGAAGGAACACTGCCCAGAGTTTATTTAATAGTGAAAAAGTTTAGAGGAACCAGATATTTATTGATTCTCATGCATGCTGTATTTGTCACACCATTTTTAAACTCTACCAAGTGGCCCTTCCAGCCAGTTCCTGGGGGCATGGAGAATTGCCTTATAGCTGCAAGACTGCACAAGGAACTTGTGCCTCCAATGCCAAGATGCCAAGGCTGGCCAGGTTAGGGGGTGAGCCTCCAGGGCTGGCCGGCAGGGTGCAGCATCTTGACTACGCCAGTCACATAAGCATGCGCACTTTGCGCTAGTTCCGCAACGTTTTCCACATTTAAGGTTCTGGTGCCGAGTAAATAGGAAAGTTACCCTTTGCAGGTATTGGGCCATAATGAGAGGTCACTTATACAGAGCTCCACATGGGAAGAGCAAGTGGAACTCAATAAAAGACCTGGTATCAGCGAGTTCCACTCAAGGTCATGAGCCGTCAGTGGCCCCTGGGACCTTGTGGGTGAACAGCCTGTGGAAATACTGTGGGAACCAAGAGAGAGGTGACATTTAAAGCAGCCCACAGAAGGGTTTAAGGGTGGGCTCTCCTCCCCCCAGGGCCAGAGGAAAGAAGGGAATTCTGGCTTGTTAGACCCACTGTTGTTTGGAGCTTGTGCATGTCTGGTGTTCCCGGACCGCGGGCTGCGCTGCCACCGAAGGGGGTCCGGGGAGAGATGAGCTTCCAGGCTGGCTTGTGGTTGCTGGAGCACATTCTGTGCCGTTGGGCATGGAGCTGGAGTCCCCAACACACCATTCTATTACTTTTTACCTTATAACTGCTTGGGTATCAATTTCTTCGAAAAAGCCTACCTAGCAAATACATACCTGTTGCATCAAACTGAAATGATTAAGAATGCATAAAATGTAATAATCTGTCCATCAAGTGCCTTCAGCTCTTGTCCTGCAGTAACAACAGGTTGATAGGTTGGCCGGTTGTCTCCCTCCCACCTCACACTAATGTAGCTTGCCATTTGGGGAACTTGCTTGGAGAGAATGACCTATCAGCAGCCAGAGCGACAGCCAGCCAGGGTTGACAGCCTCAAACCCGGGGGGCCTCGCCTAACAGGTTCCCCCCAAATAACGCCCAAGTACACTTGTCTGACCTGCTTCAAGTCAGGCTTGTCTAGGTCACGCAAGGATGGTTTTTGATAATGAATACCTAAATGTTTCTACTATTGGATATTCTTTATTGA